GAAATAGTACTGTGGACCTTGGTTAGATTCGGTAGGAGAAGGAGGATGTTTTAGCAAATGTTTCGGCATGCGCGGGCCTCCTCGTCGTGGGCCGACGTCGCTTGGCTGGGCCGCGCCCCCGCGTGGGCCGCACCGTGCGTAGCGTGCGCGTTGCGCTGCCTGGGCCGAGCCGAGCGCGCGTTTGGGCCGCGCAATAGAAATCGGTTTTTCATTTTCCAGTAAAGTAGTAAAAGCTTATTCAATTTAGTTTTTGAGCTGAACTTTGATAAATTGTAGTAAATTCTGTAGATATCCAAAAATAGTGAAACAAAATTTTTTTAGGTTCACAAACTGTTAGTGCAGTTAGTTTACAGTTAGCTTTGAGAATGATAGATTCATAAATTCAATTTAGAAAGCTTAGTATTATTTAGCTTAATATTGGTAGGAATTCTTGTGGCACATTGGTGAAAGCTTTAGCTACGAAACTTTTACAGTAGGCTCATTAGATTATTATGTACTTGCTGTAAATTTTGTAGCCCTAGAGTAGGTTGATAAATAGAGTAGCTATTATCATTGTTTTATCATATATAGAGTAAATCGGTATTAGGAGTAAAAATACCTTTAGTTGCTATGATAATGTATATCATGCTTCATACTTGTTAATGATAACAGTAGGTAACTTAGCACCTTAGTCAGTAGGACTCACTTAGTAGCTTGATAGATGTATTTTACTTTAAGAGCGGTTATTATCGTATTACTAAGTGTTGCATCATCATTTCATGCATGTAGATCATGAGTTGGTAGAGTTCGTGCCTGTGGATGAACAGGATTATGAAGAAGTCATTGAGGTGTATGAGGAGGAGATCCTCGTGTAGGAAGGAGCCCTGGAGCCTTTTGGTGATGACTTTGCTGACCCACCGCCTGCCCAAGGCAAGCCCTGGTGCATAACTCATATTTTTAATGATCACTGAATATATATATATGATATGCATTTACGTTACAGACATTTTATGGAAACTACATGCATAAATATATCTACCTATGAGTCCCACTAGTACAAGTCGAGTAGCTGCTATGCTCAGGATTTCGGTAGCGTGAGTAACCTGCCGTTACTCACAATAGGTGATAATTATGATCACTCATGATAAAATGGTGGAAAGGAAAAATGGTGACCGGGCAGGGATATGGTTTGGGTACTGGTGGGTGTAAGGGGATGTGTCTTGCAGCCAATAGGGCATAGCTTGGTTACACTTTTTCTCTGTCTGTGTCGGTTAAGGACAGGCCGTTGCATTGGACGCTAGACAAGTCACAGACTTATTATCCTGAGCACATACTTGGGTATGGGTGCAGGAAATACTTGTTGCTCTTTTGTCGTGCGTTCTGGCTCTTTCCGGACTGACTGATTGGAGACGGGGATGGTGGAGGTCCTTGCACCGCACTGAGTCCGAGACTCAGGAGTGGGGGATTGGAGTCAAAGTTTGGACGGGAACCTAGACACCCAGGACAGGAGGGTGATGGGTTGGTCCTGCTTGTGCCTGGGGTATAAGCGGAGCGTGTGTTTTTGGGGTACCCAGCTGGGCACATTGATTAGTGAATCGTCGATAAATCCAGTACGGCTTGTCTAAACTCTAGCACCGTAGTAAAAACTGGAAGATGAAAGGTGATGAAATGGAACTGATTGCTCAACTCTTGCTTGAAAGTAGAACAGGTGCTTACATAGACTGGCTAGATAATAAATTAATACGGCTGTTAATAATAACATAAATAAGGACTCACTATTAGTATTGCTTTTTACAAAAAAGAAAACCCAGCAAACCATAAAGCTTTGCATATCCATTGGAGTCGGGAAATTATTCCCCCTAGACGGATAAGTCTTGCGAGTACATTGCGTACTCAGGGTTTATTTACCCCTGTTGCAGGTAATGCATGAGGAGTACCATTGTGTGGAGGATTCTTCTGTTGGGCACAGACGGAATCCTTGCTTACTATCGCTAGTTGTTTACTCGATGTTTATCTGCATTCCGCTGTTTATTATTCCGCACTCTGACATTTGGTAATGTAATAATGAAATTTTAAGAACTTCTGATGTATGAAAGGCATTAAGTATTGTAACTCGTTCTCATTATTGGATCCTTGGGGGGAAATGTGGATTTTTTTGGGTTCTCCCTTGGGGTGTGCCCGACGGATACTGCTCGTTGTAGCTTGCTTTCGGAGTGCTTAGTGTCTGGTGGAAGACGAGCGCCTCCGTAAGTGTGTTATTTCGGACGGTTCTGCCACAACTGTCTTGTGCGATATATCCAAGGAACTAAAGGAAACATTTCTTACATTTCAAATCAACCATGTTTTGAGGGTAGGTCTCACATTTTCCATTATCATTTGGCCTTCGTGGTACAACATGTGTTAGCTAGACATTAGCATAACATTAGTTTAGAATGGATGGAGTGGCAAATGATGATCAAGGTTGTTGCTTCCAGTTATCCCAACCTCAGGTGCTAGTGAACATATTTATTCTAGAATTTCATCAATCTTTATGACCTGAAAACATCTAGGTTGACAGCTCTATAGATTTAAAAGAGTTTCTTAGTTTGATTTAGCAGTCAAGACAAGATGGTGATTTTTAACAGCCCTCTTAATACCTCTCGAGCAGGAACTTTAAATTTGATCTGTTAGCATGACAGGCACATATATAAACTCTAGATTTCAATCGCATTTCGAGTTTTCTCCAGGACTTACTGGCAACTAATCCTAGAAAACATTGTTACTCAAAGTTGTTTGTTACACAGGAATTCAATTCGGATGCTGACGTTCAAGCCAACTTTGGAGCCCAACTTGCTAGTATGAAGCTGCTGTGATTACCTCACCTTTGAATTGCTAGCTACAACTCTACAAAACAGATACGTGATTTGATCTCTTCCTTTGTAGAGTTGATGAAGTTAAGAGCTGTTCGCTTGTTGAGTTGCCATTGGCAGAGAAAACAAGACTTGGAACTTGAGAGTATAGACAGTTAATACTAATTGACCCAGGTGATTACATCACAGGGTGCAGTTGATATTAGATATTCACATCTGTGTAATGACACATTCGGCAGAACATCTGTGTAGTGCCAATCCACTGCTGAATCCATAGTTGTTTAGCTTTATGTATGAAAGCTTATGTCTGTACGAAAGATTTTGAAGTTTGGATGCATCCAATGTTAATGTGTGCTCTCATTGTTAATTGTTTCTGAACAATTCTTGTTAATGTGTGTTCTGGTCAGATTTGAATTATATATGCATATATATATGTATATATATATGTTCTGGTCGAATTTGAATTGTAAATTTAAATTTTTTTTATGAAAAAATATAATGTAGATTTGTAGGGACGGTCTGGTAACTGTCCCTACAATACATGATTTGTAGAGACGGTTTGGTAGGGGCGGCTGGCTAAACCACCCCTAAAAATGGTCTTGAGCCGCCCTACAAACCCATTGTGACGTAGTGATATCCAATTAAAAAAAAGGATAGCCGAAACTATTGTTTGAAGATGTATTATCGGCTCTAGCGGACATGGATCTAATAGGGCGCTAAGTGTAACGAACTGAGTTGGACCAGCTGTAAAATAACTTGGACTTAAAGTGATTCCAGGTTCCAAATTGTGCTTTTGAAGATCTAGCACCAAACGTGTGGCGCTTATATATCTTTCTCTAAAGAACAGTTTGCTTCATTATTACTACCCAGCTTCCATCACCCTTATGGCCTTCAGCAGCTGGTCGAATGTCAGTTCAGGTGACATGAAAAGGAGTTCCCACCGTTTTTTTAAGCGTACTCCCTCCATCTCAAAATAGACACATCTTTTTTCAAGAGTCAAACTTTTTAAAATTTAATCAAATTTATACAAAAATATAGTAACATTTATGATGTATAATAGGTATCATTAGATTAAACATTAAATATACTTCTATAATAAACTTATTTGGAGACATAAATTTTGATACTATTTTTTATATTAGTAAAACTTAAAAAAATTGACTTCTCGAGAAGCGAGATGTGCCTTTATTTTGGGACGGAGGTAGTATGTATGATTTGAGTATGACTGAAGATAGGACCGTCTCTGAATATTCCCGTTCGATGCGAGGCGTCACCTTTTCTAGAAAACTAGTAAACGAGCGTAGGGATCTTCATTGCAGAGTGTCTTCGTCCATCTCATATGGAAAGCGCCACGTGTATGGATTAGGAAGTGAGGGTGGTGCGAGATGGCGTTAAGGCTTGGGCGAGCGACGTCCCCAACGGCCGGTGACGCTAGAGTTCACGGTGGCCAAGCTCCTTGGCAAGTGTGGTGCACGAGGAATGGACCAGGGCCGCGTGACATACACTACTACAAACAAACTTTTTAGAGGTGACTACAAATGATTTGTATAGACTAATGTTCTAGCCGTCTCTAGTCGCCTCTAGAAATCGATCTCTAGAAACAAGTCAAAACTCAACTGTCTATAAATATTGTTTTCCAAAATTTGTAAAATGTGCCAAGTGGTAAATTTATTCCAAAGTTGTCTTAAGTCAAACTTTTTTAGTTTAGTTGTATTTATAAAAAAGAGCACCAAGACTTATAAAACCAAATTAATATAATTAGATACACCATAAACATATTCATATAATATGGTCATTGGTAATAATAAATATTTATATTTTTCATAACATTAATTAAATATTTAAAAATAACTTAAGATAATTGTAGAAAATAATTTATTTAGGGAGAGAGAGAGTATGAATATAGTGTTAGAGTATGAGACTACGAATAAATAAGGAAGGCAATCAATTTTGGTTAGTTACACAGTATAATCCCAAAATGTATCCATGATTTTTAATGCTTGTGTTTTTTACATGCAGAGCACGTGCCTAGTTTTTCTGATAAACAGATGCTGTGAGTTTGACCACATTCCATTACACTGGCGAGGACCCGGTTATTTAAATTCCACGCACCTTTGGTTGCTCAGCATGTCTCGCCCTGTCGTCTCCTCGCCACTACTGGTACTGGGGAGCATGGCCCCGGCTCGCCTCTTCGTCGTCGTCCTCGGCACCGCATTGGTTCTGCTCCCCTTCTCCCCTGCAGGTAACCGCTTTCGGCTCAGACTGCTGTTTATTTTCCAGGTTCAATCTAGTGCCAATAGTTGTTCACTGTGTACAATGTAGATGCCGGCGTGGTGGGCGTGAGCTACGGCCGGTTGGGAAACGACCTGCCGGATACGGCTTCGGTGGTAAAGCTTCTGAAGAAGAGCGGCATCACCTCGGTGAGGCTTTACGACGCCAACTCCAAGGTGCTCAAGGCCCTGGCCAACACCGGAATCACGGTGATGGTAATGCTACCCAACGACAACCTCGCCGCCGCGGCCGCGGACCCGTCGAGCGCTCGGCGGTGGGTGCGGAGAAACGTGGCGGCGTACTACCCCGCCACGCGGATCCACGGCGTGGCCGTGGGGAACGAGGTGTTCGAGGAGGCCAAGAACTTGAGCGGGCAGCTCGTCCCGGCCATGGCCAACGTGCACGACGCGCTGGTGAAGCTGGGCCTGGACGAGGCCTTGAAGGTGTCGACGCCGATCGCGTTCACCGCGCTCCAGGCGTCGTGGCCGCCGTCCGCTGGCAGGTTCCGGGACGACATCACGGGGTCGGTGATGAAGCCCATGCTCGATTTCCTGGAGCGGACGGGATCGTACCTCACCGTCAACGCCTATCCGTTCTTCGCGTACGCCGACGAGCCAGACAAGATCTCCCTCGACTACGCCCTGGGGAACTCCAACTCCGCCGGCGTGCGCGACCCCGTGACCGGGCTCGTGTACCACAGCCTCCTGGACGCCCAGCTCGACGCCACGTACTTCGCGATGGAGAAGCTGGGGACATCCAGTTCCGGTGCGCAGGAGCACAATTCCATGGCGCGAAACGGTCCGCGTGCGTATGTTTCGGAGAGCGGGTGGCCTTCCGCCGGCAGACTCAAACCCGGCGGTAGGCCACGCCCACGCGGCGGCGGGAGGCGTTGTTTGGAGCAGGCTGGCGATGACGCGGCTTCGGTAGCCAACGCTAAAGCTTACAACAACTACCTCATCAACCGCGTGGTGTCCGGTGACACGGGCACCCCGTACCGCCCCGACGCCGACATGGACGTGTACGTCTTCGCCCTCTTCAACGAGAACCAGAAGGGCGACGGAGCGGACGACATCGAGCAGCACTTCGGCCTGTTCTACCCGAACCAGACGAAGGTGTACGAGTTCGATTTCCGGGGCGGCGCTCTGGCGAGCTGGTGCGTGGCGAACGCGTCCGTCGGGGACGCGTGGCTGCAGGCGGCGCTGGAGTACGCGTGCGGCCACGGCGCCGACTGCGGCGCCATCCAGCCCGGCGCGCCGTGCTTCGAGCCGGACACCAAGCTCGCGCACGCCTCGTATGCGTTCAACAGCTTCTACCAGCGCAACGGCCGGGCCAAGGGGGCGTGCGACTTCGACGGCGCCGCCTACGTCGTGTATCACGAACCAGCTGGTGAGTTCTCGACGTCTCGCCACTTCTCTTTCCCATTGTCCCCTTGTCCTAGTAGTATGGCAACATCTCACCATCTCATGGTGTCCTCGTGCACTGGTGTATGTATCGACGTAGGCACCTGTGACCCGAACGTGAGCTGGTGCGTGGCGAATGCGGCGGTCGGGGACGCGCGGCTGCTGGCGGCGCTGAACTACGCGTGTGCCAACGGCGCGGACTGCAGCGCCATCCAGCCCGGCGGAGCGTGCTTCGAGCCCGACACCGTGGTCGCCCACGCCTCGTACGCGTTCAACAGCTACTACCAGCGGAAGGGCCGGGGCAGCGGCACGTGCGACTTCACCGGCACCGCCTCCGTCGTCTACCACGCACCAAGTGAGTCCACGATTCTTTCTTTGCTCGCATTATTGTTCTCTCCAGCTGTTCCTCACTACTGAAAGTCTGAAACGCGTCCCACGTGGGGGATCCAGACATCCAGTGAACTGTAAATCTCACTGTTCTTTGCTTCTCTATTTACCGCACGGACAGTATATTTAATACTTTATGTATGCATATGTTCAAGCATATGATATGAGTATTAAATCTAGACTTAAAAAATAACTAATTGTACAGATTGCAACTAATTTACCAGACGAATTTTTTAAGCCTAATTAGCCACGATTTGACAACGCAGTGCTACAGTAAAACTACAGTAAATATGTGCTGGTCGTGGGTTAATTAGGCTTATAGCTTCGTCTAGTGGATTACTGAGGACATCTGTAATTTATTTTATTACTACTGTCCGAACACTCTCGTATGACACCCCGATGTGATACCCGATATGACACTCCTAAACTTTAGCCTCTGAATTTAAACACCACCGGAAACTTCACTCTCTTTTTTTTTCTTTTGAAAAGAACAGTGAACTCCACTCTCACTTTTTTTGTTTTGTTCTCTGTTTACCTCAGAGATTGGAAACTGCGTCCTCCCGTCGAACGCTTGGATTCAAGAAACAACAGCCAAGTCTGAAGGATACACTGCCATCTGATGCTCCATAGTAACTTTCAAGAAAAGTTCAATTTGACCTTGCATAATATTGCACTAGTAGAAATGTAGAAAAGTGTAAAGCTAAGCATCTGCACATCAGAATAACAGATGCCTTCGCTTGCTTTGCTTTGCGGATACTCATGAATCATTGTTCCTATTTTCCTGAGGTGAGGTGGATCTCCTGCTAGGTTTGGCTCCGGCTTTATCGTCACTGTAGCTATACTTTAATAAGAAGCTGGTTTTATCTCTATTCACAAAATGAACTAGACCCTTTAAAGCTTTTTTTTTTAATTATTTTTCATCGTTTTGCACTGCAGCAAAGAGTCAACGCCCCCCAAAAAAAATCCTACCAAACGTACCCTTCGGTTTAACTTCTATATAGTTCACACGTGTCACATTTTAAATATTTATTATCGTCAGTCAAAGAAAGTCAATAGGCTGGAGGTTATAAAACTGTTTTCCTTGGACCGGGAAATTGAGAGCAACTATCATATGATCACACACGGGTTAAGACATGCCATGTGTCCATGGCCATGTGATAATTCCTGTCTTTCCGGTTTCTCCTCTCTGGCTTTCTTCCTTCTCACGAGTCACGACTCCCTAGAGCCTAGTAGAGCCTAGAGGCAACAAGCCAACAACAGCCTCTTCGCTTACTCGTAAATGATCGTAAATTTTCAGTCAGGAACAGTATTTTTCTCTCACACCAAATCAGCCAGCAGTAAATAATCCACGATACGATACGGCCTCCCGAACAGGCTACAAGTCGGTGCGAAGCACAGGTGCTGTCACTTCGGTGTTGGATCATGCAAAGATTACTTTTAGATCTTTAATTAAGGACTCGTTTAAATCCAAGGTGTAAAGTCTTAGGATGTCACATCGAATGTTACATAGGGTGTCGCATGGGGTGTTCGAATACTAATAAAAAAAATAAATTACAAAATCTGTCAGTAAACCACGAGAAGAATTTATTAAGCCTAATTAATTCGTCATTAACACATGTGTTACTGTAGCACCACATTGTCAAATCATGGACTACTTAGGCTTAAAAGATTCGTCTCGCAAAGTAGTCGCAATCTGTACAATTAGTTATTTTTTAGTCTATATTTAATACTTTATGCATGTGTTCAAACATTCGATAGGATATGGGTAAAGTCACATACTTCAGCAGCATTAGCGCAATGATGGACCATTTGGATCTCAAAAAACATTCGAGTGTCCAGTTAAGAACCCCACAGGATAGCATGCTTCATCATCTGTTTACTATCTGACTATCCGGATACCTAAGCACCAGGCAGAGAATTTGTAGTTGCTCTTGGCTTTCATTTTGCTTTTCCTTTTCATTCTCTGTATTCCCTCTTTTCATTTTCACACACATTTTTCTTTGGAAAGCACCACCAGGTGTAGAACGGGGGGATCGAACCCCTGCCGACCAGCTCCTCCCTTCGAGCCTTCACCACTCAGCTACATGCACATCCGTTTTTTTCAGACATTTCATACTAATATAGCACAAGTCCACCAAACCATGCTCGCTCCTACACTAGCTATTAATTTAATAGAGATATGATAAAATTTTATGGATAAATTTTGGTCCAAAGCTCATCAAAATTGCATATATTTGCACCATCTAATTTGTTCATATTATTACACAATATTCACATTGATTGATACATCCTTATTTTTGTTGGTGGCAATAAACATTAGTTACCATTTACTCTATATGCTTTTCAATCTCTATTCATAGTTCTCTCCTTTGCATCACTCTCCCATATGTAGTTGGCATGTATTTTGTTGAAATCTTAGTTTGGGCAATTTGTTTGACAAAATAGCTATGATGATAGCTCCGTACATAGATGTGTATCAGTATATATGGAGTAAATGCAGCACGAGCCAAAACCAAAAGATACAGAAATAGACCAAATGAACACAGATTGAGTTGCAATTTTGCACAGACCTCTACGAGGAATTGAAGGTATCTGTACAGTTTCAACTTAAAAATACAAAAGCATGGGTAGAAAATCTAAGAAAAGGTTTTCCAAAATGGGGTTTTCTCCATTTTCAATCCAAGTTGATTTCTTGGTGCTCGTGGGAAAATTGTTTAAACCAGTGGCTAAAGATGTTTCCACGAGGTCATAGCATCATAAGATCAACCCAAAACAATCCTAAAAGCCTCAGATTGAAGAACTTTCAAAGATCTCCCAAAAACGAACCTAAAATAAAGGGAAGAGGAGAAGTGAAAGATCTAACTCAGAGTTTCAGAGGACAACTTGATTGATTGGTCACGAAAACATCTTTACAAGACCAGGTCTACCCTTTCTCCCTTCATCCTCCCTCTAGAAAGTGGAAAATCAGAGCAAGAGGTGCTCACCCTCTCTACTTCTAATCTTCACTAAGCAAGATCTACTTGGCTAGCCTAAGGAAATAGACTTAGGTGAGAGAGATAACTGTCTTGGGCAGCCACTTTCCTTATTTATAGGATTATTACACATTCCAAGACTACCTCTAGGTATTTGCCTTGAACCACTTAGTTACAGGGGCAAAATGGTCCAGAATGGATTTCAAGCATCGGACGGCCAAGGGCCCTTCATGAAGCCGCTTTGCCTCGATGCAAGCCCTCGGATGACGCCACGTGCCGACCTGACATCCTCTCTTGGTTTTTGAGGTCTAAAGACGGCAAACCTGTCACCCGCGATTTTGAGGCCCAAACCGCCAAACACACTTGGTGTCGCATAGCTGCTATGCCGTCTCCACGATGTCGACGCATGTCCCGCTCGTCCAATCACCAAGTGCTCGTGCGCTCGCCTTGACTTTGTTCAATCGTCGTCTTGACTTCGGTCAACAACGTCTCCATCACCATCTTTGCATGTACACTCGCTTGTTGACGTGTCTAAGTACTAGCTGTCCATGGTCCATTCTCTGGCCCCGCTTGGTCCCTCAGTATAAGCCTTCGTGTCCGCTCTTCACCATCCCCGGTCTATCGCGCCCTCGCTTGACCTTCTCCATTGCCAATAGTCAACACCTTGCACACCACAAAAAGAGACATTTTGCGCACACACACCTCACCCGTGATTAGTCTCACGCACACCTAACCAAATCTCCGATCTCTTCTTGACAATCAGTCATCACTTATATGTGACATATATCAACCATGAGTTCGGTTTTTTTTTTCAGTAGGCGTATGCAAAATTTCAGGTTGAATCAAAGCTTACGCAGCTTATTAGTTGATATCATACATTTTGGTAACAGGGTAACGGTACATATATGTTCCCAATTCTGGACTCCCATGGCCAGGCTAACCACTCAACGACACCGTCGACACGGCTGTGTTGGCGCTGTTGTTCCTGGCGAAGAATCCCGGCTTGGATGGAGCCTGGAGGGTGACCGTGTCGCTGCCGAGCATCATCACGACCGACGACATCACCGGCCGGGCCGCGGGGTCTCCCTGGACGCAGAGCAGCCCGATGTGGATGCACCTCAGCACGTCGCCCTCCGGGAAGCCTCCGCCCAGGGACGGGTCCACCAGCTCCGCCACCGTCCCGGCCTCCCAGTGCTCCCATACCTGCTCATGGATTTAATTTGTAGCGTGATGAGCCAGCAAGCTGCAACGCAACTTACGTATAGAGCTGTATTCTTCGGTGTAGATATTGTACTTACTGTGGTCAAGAGATTGCAGCCGTCGTTACTGTTCTTCCGACCCGTTACGATTTCTAGCACCATGACACCGAAGCTAAACGCGTCCGACTTCACGGAGTAGTTCCCCTGCATCATGTACTCGGGTGCCATGTACCCACTGAAATAAACGAGGAAATCAAAGCAAAAGCTCATGCAGTTATTCAGATGAATAAATATTGAGCTTGCATGAAGCGGTTAATGGAAGCTGGTGTGTTTTTCAGCACTGACTAGGTGCCGACGACGCGGCTGGTGACGGCCAGCGTCTGGTCCCGGCCAAAGATCCTGGCCAGGCCGAAGTCTGAGATCTTGGGGTTCATGTTCTCGTCTAGCAGGATGTTGCTGGCCTTGAGATCACGGTGCACCACTTTGAGCTGGGAGTCCTCGTGGAGGTACTGCAGGCCCCGAGCGATGCCGTTTATGATCTTGTACCTCTGCCCCCAGTCCAGCTGTTCACGTTCCTGATTGTCCGTGTCTGATCACGTAGATCATATAAAGGAAATATATACAAGTGATCATCAATGTGATGATATGAAAATTTTGAGTAGACGCTTGAATTGAGCATGAGCCAGTCGATCCGTACGTACCGAATAGGATGAGATCGAGGCTCCGGTTGGGCACAAACTCGTAGACGAGCAGCCTCTCCTGCTGCTCCAGGCAGACGCCGATGAGCCTGACGAGGTTCCTGTGCTTCAGCTTGGCCACCAGGGCGAGCTCGTTCTTCAACTCCTCCACTCCCTGCGATGAGCTACTAGACAGACGCTTCACCGCTATTTCCTCGCCATCCGGGAGGACACCCTGTACACATGGAAACCATACATTGAGTGCTATGTTTCATGGAGTTCTTTTCTTTTCAGTTTTCACTCCATAGTCATCTGGTACGTGTTTGTTCAGTGCTACCTTGTACACGGCACCAAAGCCGCCTTCGCCGAGCTTGTTGCTCTCATCGAAATCCCCTGTGGCGGCTCGTAGGGTGGAGACGTCCATCATCATGGAGTCCATCATTTCGATGTCCTCTGCTTCAGTGGAATACATGGGATCTGCGTACGTATGGATTGGACGATGAGTCATTTGTTTTCAGATCCTTCGAAGTGTGTTTAACGATGCGCAATTAACAGATAATTTTGAAGCAACATACTTTGGTGTTTGGCCTGTGCAATTAGTTGTCCCCGCCGCCTCCGGAAACAGAGGCAGGCGACAAGGTTCAAGGCTGCTAGAGTTGGCAGCACAACAGCAAGAGCCACCCAGGGCACGTATGTATGGTACTTTCGGCCCCCTGTGAACTAACGATAGTGTTAGCAAACATCACGGGAAATATGTGTCACAAAGCTTAGATTCTGACAGAAATAGCACAAGCATGGACATATCCTTGTGAAGAAAGTTACAATCTATATACATAATAAAAGCAATGTATCAAGAAAAATTAAAACGTCTGGTAATTTGGAACAAAGGAGTCCTCTTTATAGTATTTGCTATAAAATATGGCTTTCACTCACCTCCATCCGTCGCAGGAACCCGAAAGTTCACAGCCGGAGCCGGTGCAGGCGCTTTATAGCTTGGTGATGCCAGCCGTACCATCGCCGGTCCATTATAGAAGGGCGTGCTCTCGTACCTGTAGGTGCAGCTGACGGCGAGCACCCTGCCTCCGATACGATTCTGGAATCCGTCCAGGGATTGCGATATGAGCCTGGAGAGGCACTTCCGGCACTGCGCCGGCGTCTGGTCCGGTGTGCACTGAGCCAGGGTGTAGACCTTGGGGAACTCCGGGTCGAAGCTGGTGTCAGCTTCGCCGGTCGCAAACCGCCGAGTGGAGTTGTACGCGGCGTAGTCGGCGGTGGCGTTCACGAGCACTGCCAAGAGGAGGATGAACTTGCCGGGGTCCGACGTGATGGTTTGAGTGTTGAGGGCGGCGTATGTATCGAGCATCGGGCCGGTGTCGTCGTCGGGGAGGATGTGCACGTCGGAGTAGTGAGCCATGCAGGGATCGTAGTAGATGCTAGCGTCCTTGTAGTAGGAGCAGTAGCCGGGCAGGTCCTGGAAGGCCTGGGTCAGGCAGCTGAAGCATGCCGTGGCGTTGACATCGCCGCGGCAGAGCCCCATGGCCCAGACCTGCTCCGGGATTGTACCGGCGACGATGGTTGCGAAGAGGTCTGGGGACTTGGAGGCATTTTTGGGCAAGGTAGCTGCGATGGAGTTGAGATGGGCCTGGTATGTGCCGTTAGGCGTAAAGTAGCTGCTGTCACCGCACATTGACCACGGGTAACCCGCGGCAGCGGCCATGAGCAGTGCGACGGCGAGGACTGCGGCCACGGGCAGCAGGTTCTTCTGAACCATTGAGGCATCGAGTCGAGGAAAGAAAAATGCACATTGCTAGAGGTTATGTAGAGTTGTAGACCGAGGCTATTCACCGTCCAACCCCTGCAATCGGGACGCACAGTGGCGTCCCTTCTACTCCCTGTATAAACGTTTTGGTATTTTTAGATATGTATAGATAGATTTTGTTATGCATTTAGACATACACTTTATGTTTAGGTACATGAGTAAAATCAATGGATCTAACGAAGCTAAAATATTTTATAATTTAGAATTGTAGGAGTAGTTGATTTTCTCTTCAGTTTTTTCCCCTCAAAATAGGTGTCTTAACATCGGGCCAGTGTCTTTTTTTTTTCGAATACGCAAAAGATTTGCATATTATTATATTAAGAAAAAGAGTTTAAACATACAGATAAAGCGCCTCTATCGAGCACCTCTACCGGATCCGTGTCAAAAAGGCAAAATTGTGATTATGATGCCCACCTCCTAATTTCCACGAATAAATGGCTGCATTATTCTTATCCACGCCTTCCTTTAACAGATATACTCAAAAGTGTCCGCTAAGATTTTAGCCCATGCAAAAAGTACTGATTAATGGACTATCAAACTAATAATAATTTATAAATAAAAAATGAACATAACCAACATTTTACTATTGGTATTTTCATCACCGGTTTTATTAAAATAGGACGACGATATATTATCATTGCCGCTTTGGAACACGAACATCACCGCAGGTTCAGAACTAAAACTTACTATGAAAACTACTTAGTCATGATGAAAAGTGTCCAGAGCCTCTCTCCCTCACGTGTGTCCCAATATGTGTTTCTTTGTTATGCCGGTGTGTGGCAAATGACTGGTGCTCATGCGGAGCGCACTGATTGTAGGCCATACCCTCTCTCTCTCCTCAACCTTCATCTCTCTCTCTCTCTCTCTCCTTTAGCTCTCTTTCTCCTATTACTCCTTTAGCTCCCTTCCTCTCTCTCCACGGTGCGGAGGCAACACCCCAGTGTGAAGGTAAACCGTGGCGCTGTAGCGGCCCAGGCCCGAAGGTGACCCTGGCATGAAGGCGGCCTCCCTTCCCCCGTTAGGCCTAATTTGGAAACTCCAATCCTTCCGGGATCCCGGACTTTTCCCTGGGCGGGCAATCCATGAGGATATCATTCTAGTTCTTAGTGGGGGTTCCATCCCTGAGTTTTGCTCCCCCTGCTTCCAAAAGAGCCCTTAGGGTAGTAGCCCTCGCTAGGAGTGGCGGTGGCCCCCACAGTGTGCGTGGCCTCCGCCCTCCTCTCTAGCGTGGTGTGTAGCAGGTGATGCGTCCGATGAGCAACTCCTCCGTCGGATAGTGTTCTTTTAAAAAATATTTTCACCGCTGCCCGTTATAGAAACCTGTAATGATAATAACTTATAGTGGGTCTCCTTACATAAACCCGTAATGACAATAACTTATATTTTCCACGGTTGCAAACAGGCGGTAATGACTTCGATTACTACCAATAAAGGTGAAAACCGGTGATAACGGGTCTCCTTATGACCTTATGAGCCGGTGGTCACGACTCATGAGCGTGAATATATCTGGGTCGTCATATGCCAAACTTTATCTTCGTCAACGATAGTGAGGCCTTTTAGAAAGAAAAAAAAACGATAGTTAGGCCCGTTCGCGCGTGTACTCATACATGCCAGTGCAGCTTCCCACAGGGCACGCGGGCAACTTGTGAGCTGTGAACTGAACCGTACCTTCAATCACCTTTGGCGCGCGCTGCTTCAGTCCAAAGCCGCGACGACTTGAGTCATCGTTGGACAGAGCGCGCTCGACTCGTCGTGGACCAAGTCACCAAACCACAACTTGTAGGGATGGCAACGGGGCGGATTAGGATCGGATGGGATTCGGATTGGATGGAGTCTCTGTGCACCCGAACTCGAAACCTGAAACCGCACCGAACACCGATTCGGGTGATAATCCGTCTCTAAAACCGAACCCGCGGATACCCGAAATCTGAATGGATACCCGAAATCCGCTTTGTATGGCAACATAGTAAGAGAAATAAGGACTTTCTATAAACATATGCATGATATATATACACATATTCACATGTATAAACAAGATGCAACAAATAATAAATATTTTCATGAGTCAACTTAGAATAAATTTAATAATATAAGTAAATAAGTTATTATTAGCATATTACAAAGGATTATAAAACATGAGTTTTAATTCCAAATGATTTATTTCGGATATCCATTGGATATCCACGGGTGGAAAACCGAGCCCGATTGGTTTTGGGCCCCAAACCCAAAAACCGTGGATGAAAAATCATCCTCGAACCCGAACCCGCAAGACCCGAAACCCGCGGATATCCATATTTTTTCCAATGTTATTCAACTCACTCGTGGAAAAACAGGAAATCAAATCTTCACATTCAGGCTCACTGATAATAAAGGTAATACAGGAAATCTACAAAAGTTGACGCCTGTGTACATGCCATGCCAACGACCGCATTTATTTTATCAAAGCGAGAGGAGGGCCTACAGTAACCTAGTCAATGGCACAGTCCTGATAGCTGATAGGGAAAGATA